TTTCTCCAGCTGGCTGCTGCTAGATTTTTTTCCGTGTTTGTTTTTTTGTTTGTTTTGTTTTTGATGTTGCTGGTATTTTTGCCTTTTCTTGCCCGACCCGATGCCGTTGCCGTCGTCGAGGCCGTCGTGCCGTCGGGCTGCGTGACCAGGAGGGTCGGGCGGGGCGGCCGCTCAACGACACGACAATACCAAACTGCTGTACAAAAAAAGCCAGCCAGATCTGATATTGTGTTCAGCACGGTAAAGGGCTCCTGTGCGCTTCGCGATTAAAGGAGATTATGGAGAGTACCAGCAGGCGAGGCGGGGGGCGGGCGGATGGTGCAGCGGGCAGGGCGGGGCGGCGCCTCCACTCGGGACTTTTCCTCTTTCTTGCTCCCTTTTCCGCTCCGCTTCCCCCTTCTGCAAGCCCCCATCTTCTCTCGTGTCCGGCAAAGAAAAATAAAACCTGGGCGTCGAAGCTCCTATTCAAAGGACGGAAACGGACAAGAAGAAATCCATCTTGTAATCTCCTAAAGGAGAGGGTTTTGTAGGGGGGAACAAGAGACTAGAGAAGAGGTGGAAATATCACGCTGGCGAGACGGGGAGTTGGGGGCGGCACGGCGGGTGTGAAAGGAAGGCTCTGAGCTTTTACTCCGAAAATCCGACAGAGAGACAGTTTCCTTGTTGTAACTGTGGGAATGTCCCAAATGCCGAAATAAGGCGCGAATTCTCATATTTAAAGCAATGGGATTTTTCAAAATACTTTTTGTAACTGTGAGAGGCTGTCCCACACAGCAACGGCAAGAGAGAAAATCAGCAGAGATAATTTGGGGTACATTTCTTTTCATTTGGCTCTCGAATGAAAGCGAGTGACGACGACGAAGACGGGGGGTTGCGTAGTTTTGCTTTTCGTATCACGAGCACGCGCGCGACAGGACAGGCTGGAGGTCGCAGAACAGGAATCTGCTCCACTCCACAATAACACCGGTTCTCTCTGCCTCTTTCCTGCTGTCGCCGAGGCATGCTGTCACCCCCTCCCCCTTCCCCCCTGATCACAACAGCAGACTGCCACCCCTGAGAGCGAGAGTGGGAGAGGGGGGGGGGTGAGAGAGGGAGACAGCTGCCTTACCAAGCGACCCCTAATTTCTGAGCGCGCGCGCGAAAGTTCAAAACTGAAACCGAGTCTGAGAGAGGAGCGAGGCGACCGGACCGTTTCCGTGGCGGCGCAGCTCCTCTGTCCGGGCCGAGGCGGGGTCGGGTGACGGCGCTCGGGTTGTTTGTAGAGGGGCGGGAAGGGGGGCACGGACGGGGAGGAGGGGGGCCTTTGTAGCGCCGAACGGCGGCGATGACACTCGTGTTGCTGCTCAGGACGGCGGCGCTTCCCGCGCAGCCCGGGCGGGACGGGGGAAGGAAACCGTTTGACCGTCTGCTTCTGCCCCTGCCGCACTGGTTAAATATACTATCTTTTCATTAAAAAATAACATAAAACTTCATTCATCGTGAAATCAAAATAATTTTTGCGGGAATCTTCTACTTTTGGTAGAGTTAGATGCACTTTTTCGACGAATTTCTCATACTAGTGACTTTACAACACTTAAGTGCCTTTACAGAGGCACTTAAAGTTTAGCACCCCTGGACATGTACGAAAGGCCCCAAAGTTGCATTTTTTTTTATTTTTTTTCAATTTGATGCTTTATTTATAAAAGCACTAAAATTTAGCACTTTTAAAAATCCCAAAGTGTTAGTTTACCTTTGCTTTTCCACGGAACTCCCATAAAAACCAGAAGCCACTTAGATTGTTTTTTGTTTGTTTTGTTTTTTTTTGTTTTTTGTGTGAATGCGCAATGCACCCTTCCTTCAGCTTCTTTAATTTTGTGTACGATCCTCTTCTAGTCGCAGAGAGGCAGCTTTCGGAATTGAATATGAGCGCAGGGAGAGCGACAACGTGAGCGCCTGGGCCGCCTGCCGGGCCCAGGCCCGCGGCTTCGGGCAGGCGTCAGAATGACTTCCACGTGACGCGGCGTCAGAATGGCGTCAGAATGACTTCGAGGCGACACGGCGCCGCCCCATTTGCACAGCGTGACAGGAAGGGCAGGCCTGGCGACAGGGCTGCACAGGGGAAAAATGAGACAAGAGCGCCTCGGCTGCTGTTGAGTGTGTCGTGCGCCCTGCAAAGCATGTACTTTACCAGTGATGCGCTGCAGTAACGTGCACGCATACACTCACACACAGAGTTCCCTACAATAAGGGTGCTCTTCATAAAAGGAAGTAGGGTTTGAAGCGTTGGGTTTGCGACCTTCAAAGCACGTAGAAGTGTCCGCATTACAAACTGATTTTCTTCATAACATTACAATAACATCACGGCACCGGATTGTGAAACAGGCACGTACTATTCGTATTACAAACTTGTACTGCTTCTTGCTTTGTAATACCGACGAATTATTTGTATCACAAAGGTCCTGAACGCATTTGTACGTCATAAAGAGCAGTTGTTAGCTGGTGCGCCTGGCCGCTGCACCCTTTTAGACCACAAGGCCGTTTGCCTGTTTTGGGTGGTTGGTCCGTCCTTGCCGTCCCCTATGCCTATCCACCCCTTGGCCGCCACCGCTGAGGGTCGTTACCGCAGGAACACTCAAATGATTAGCTTCGAGTGGGAAACTCCCTGTGATGTGGGCGTGCATAGAAGCGCAAGAGAGAGGGATAGAGAGGAGAGAGAGAGAGAGAGAGAGAGAAAGAGAGAGAGAGAGAGAGAGTGAGAGCTAGGTCGCGCGAATATATGCGCGGCCCAGAGGAGAGGGGGGAGGGAGGGGCTGCGTTAAGGCGGGGCTGGCCTAATCGACTCAACCTCAACAGCGTTGCCAGCCAACGTGTAAGCTTCCGAGCTCTCATGCTACGCTAGTTCGATCACAAAGTGCCTAGTTATATTCTATAAAATCTTTAAGTAAAAAAGTGCCTAGTAGGCAGCGGGGATTGCTGTGAAGTGCTGTTTGAAGAGAGTTAAATGGCTTAACGTTCTGAT